CTGCAAGGCAAGCAAATAAATCAAATCAAAATCAAAACCAGAACAATCCATTACGGTACGGTACGGTCAAAGCCAGACTGGCATCAGCGACAGCAATGACTTGGCAGGAGAGCTCTAGATTGCAGCTTGGGAGCTGTTGTGTTTCAGGGGGTGCAATGGGAGGGCAACCAAAAGGAAGGGAAAAAGAGAGAGAGAGATCCTCCCTACACATTAACTCTCCCAAAAGTGGACATTAGCTCTGTTCGCTCCCGACTTTTTCAGGTTATATTGCTATATTCCTTTTGCATGGTCTGCAAAGGCTTTCATGGTACTTCTTTTCTGACTTGGGAGTTCTGGGTGCCAAGTTTGGTTCAATTCCACTGTTGGTAGGTCCACAATCCCAGCAACTACAACTCCCAAATGTCAAGGGCTATATTTTCCCCAAACTCCACCAGTATTCACATTTGTGCATATGGAATATTCGTGCCAAGTTTGGTCCAGATACATCCTTGTTTGAGTCCACAATGCTCTCTGGATGTAGGTGAACTACAACTCGCAAACTCAAGGTCAATGCCCAACAAACCCTTCCAGCACTTTCTGATAGTCTGGGGAGTTCTGTGTACCAAGTTTGGTTCAATTCCATCGTTGGTGGAGTTCAGAATGCTCTTTGATTATAGGTGAACTATAAATCCCAGCAATGACGACTCCCACATGTCAAAAGGCTATATTTCCCCCCAAACTCCACCAGTACTCACATTTGGGCATATTGAGTATTTATGCCAAGTTTGGTCCAGATCCATCATTGTTTCAGTCCACAGTGCTCTCTGGATGTAGGTGAACTACAACTCCCAAACTCAAGGTCAATGCCCAACAAACCCTTCCAGTAATTTCTGGTGGTTATGGGACTTCTGTGTGCCAAGTTTGGTTCAATTCCCTTGTTGGTAGGTCCACAATGCTCTTTGATTGTAGGGGAACTATAAATCCCGGCAACTACAACTCCCAAATGTCAAGGAGTATTTTCCCCAAACTCCACCAGTACTCACATTTGGACATATTGAGTATTTATGCCAAGTTTGGTCCAGATCCATCATTGTTTGAGTCCACAGTGCTCTCTGGATGAAGGTGAACTACAACTCCCAAACTCAAGGTCAATGCCCAAACCCTTCCAGTAATTTCTGGTGGTTATGGGACTTCTGTGTGCCAAGTTTGGTTCAATTCCCTTGTTGGTAGGTCTACAATGCTCTTTGATTGTAGGGGAACTATAAATCCCGGCAACTACAACTCCCAAATGTCAAGGGCTATTTTCCTCAAACTCCACCAGTATTCTACAACTCCACCAGCAACTACAACTCCCAAATGTTAAGGACTATTTCCCCCAAACTCCACCAGTACTCACATTTGGGCATATTGAGTATTGGTGCCAAGTTTGGTCCAGATCCATCATTGTTGGAGTCCACAGTGCTCTCTGGATGGAGGTGAACTACAACTCCTAAACTCAAGGTCAATGCCCATCAAACCCTCCCCGTATTTTCTGTTGGCCTTGGGAGTTCTGTGTGCTGAGACTGGTTCAATTCCATCGTTGGTGGAGTTCAGAATGCTCTTTGATTGTAGGTGAACTGTAAATCCCAGCAGCTACAACTCCCAAATGACAAAATCAATCCCCTCCCCAACCCTACTGGGATTCAAATTTGGGCGTGTTGGGTATGTGTGCCCTATTTGGTCCACTGAATGAATATCCATCCTGCATATCAGATACTTACACTACAATTCGTAACAGGAGCAAAAGTACATTGAAAATAACGTGATGGTTGGGGGTCACCACAACATGAGGAAGTGTACTAAGGGGTCGCAGCATTGGGAAGGTTGAGAAACACTAATTTAAGGGAAGAGCATCTTTCCTACCTGGTGGTTGCAGGGTGCAAGGGAGACCTTCCCTCCCACCTGGGATGTTCTCAGAGAGGCATTTGGGTTGCGTGGATGCCGTGGCAAGGACACTCCGTGTCATGTGCAACGGTTTCAAAAGACCACACCCTCGCTTGCATGGAAAAACAAGAAGGGCCATCCTGAGCGATCCCCTGGCCCCAGCTTGAAGCAACTCAAAGCCAGAGGAAGGACCGGTTCTTCAGTTTTCCATCCCGAGAGCCAAGAATATTTCCTCTGCTCTTGGCTGTGAGGAAGCCACAACTCCCTTGCTTCCAGCAGAAGGAGGTCTAGACTAAGCTAGGCTGGTCTCATTAGCCCAGCCTGACCGAATCCAACTCTGGTGGCCCATACACCTCGTAAACGGAGCCCAACTCTCCCGAATCTCCAAAATCTCTACTATGCATTGTTTAGCACAAAGGGTCCCAGAAAGTCTTTCCAATCATTATCACTAAGGGGAACCTAGGCCAGGATTGGCATTTTTGCAGGATCCTGTGCTCTCCTCCCAGGCTGAGAGGAAACAATGGAGACCAGACTCTCTATCTATAGAAATACACATGTAATGTTCGTTTGTGGGATTAACAGAACTCAAAAACCACAGGGGGAATTGATACGAAATTTGGACACTACACCCCTAACAGACCAACAAGTGACCATCACTCATAAAAATCCCCCCAAAAACAGCAGAAAGGACTTCAAAACCCCAAAAGTGAAGGAAGAGGGAGGGAAGGAAGGGGAGAAAGAAAGAAAGAAAGAAAGAAAGAAAGAAAGAAAGAAAGAAAGAAAGAAAGAGATCACCTTGATTCACAGTCACCTACGTATTCATCATCAAGACACTACACCTAGAAGGCCATCCTACTAGGACAATGAGGGATCTCCTTGATTCACAGTCATTACATGTCACCTACCAAGACACTACACTTGGAAGGCCATCCTACTTGGGCAACGAGGGATGGCCTTGATCCACAGTCACCTACGTATCCATCGTCAAGACACTACACTTGGAAGATCATCCTACTTGGGCAACGAGGGATCTCCTTGATTCACAGTCAACTGCGTATTCATTATCAAGACACTGCACTTGGAAGGCCATCATACTTGGACAGTGAGGGATCCCTTGATTCACAGTCACCTACGTATCCACCACCAGGACACTACACATAGAAGACCATCATAATTGGGCAACAAGGGATCACCTTGATTCGCAGTCACCTACGTATCCACTACCAAGACTTGGAAGGCCATCATGCTCAGACAGCGAGGGATCTCCTTGATTCACAGTCACCTATGTATCAATCGTCAAGACACTACACTTGGAAGGCCATCATACTAGGACAACAAGGGATGGCCTTGATTCAAAGTCACTTGCGTATCCACCTCCAAGATGCTACACTTGGAAGACCATCATACTTGGGCAACGAGGGATCTCCTTGATTCACAGTTATTATGTGTCCACTGCCAAGACACTACACTTGGAAGGCCATCCTACTTGGGCAACGAGGGATGGTCTTGATTCACAGTCACCTACGTATCCGCTGCCAATACTCCACACCTGAAAGGCCATCATGCTCAGACAATGAGGGATCACCTTGATTCAACGACACCTCCATATCCATTGTCAAGACACTACACTTAGAAGGCCATCATACTTGGGCAATGAGGGCTTGCCTAAGCAAGTAAGAACAGGGAAGAGCAAGATTCCCTCCTTCGTCCTTCTTTCCCCGTGGCCAAATTAATAGAACACAAACGACCTTTGCACTTTGAACTCAGTTCAGCTGAGGTGAAAGGGAGAAAGTGGGAGAAGGAGAAAGAAATCCGAAAGTAGGCCAGGTGAGGATTAACTGGGGCTCACTGGGATAATGGCAGGGTAGGGAATATGATTATTCTCCTGTGCCCAGTCACCTGGAGAGAATACCTGCCTCGCCCCAGGAGGCCACATCCGATTGGTTAGACTGCCAATGGCACCTGGAAAACAATCCTTTGCCTGAGCTTGTCTACAACCAAACCGAGCCTGTACGTTGGGGACTCAACAGACTGTTCTCTGCAAGAGATTGCTATTACTAAACAAAAAATCACTGGAAATCCTTGCGCAGCACACAGCTACATATGCATGTTCAAGCTGCTGGCTTTAAGACACCTAATCCCATGGCTCCTCATGCAGGGCCTTGTAGTCAAAAGTTGGGAGATGGCTCAAAGACAAGAGTCCAGTCCCTGGCTGGTCTGCCCACCTCTTTCTCAAAACACAGCTGGGTTTCCAGCCAGCTTGTGCAAAAATATATATACCAGGGTTGAATGAAAAGTAATTCCTCCACCTTTGTTACTTGGTTTGGGATAGGAATATTTTAATAAATCAAATGCAGACATAATCCTTAGAATGTGCTCTTTAACTACCACTATTCACTTTTCCACATAATCACCAGACAATTGGATACATTTCTGCCAACGATGAACAAGTTTTCTGAAGCTGTCACAGAAGAAGTCGACACTCTATTTCCGCAACCAGCATCTCACAGTTCTCTCAATGTCTTCATCAGAAGTATAATGCAATTGGATACATTTCTGCCAATGATGAACAACCACTATTCACTTTTCCATATAATCACCAGACAATTGGATACATTTCTGCCAATGATGAACAAGTTTTCTGAAGCCGTCGAAGAAGAAGTCGACACTCTGTTTCCACAACCAGCATCTCACTGTTCTCTCAACCACTATTCCCTTTCCCACATAATCACCAGACAATCGGATACATTTCTGCCAATGATGAACAAGTTTTATTCACTTTTCCACATAATGACCAGACATTTGGATACATTTCTGCCAATGATGAACAAGTTTTCTGAAGCCGTCATGGAAGAAATCGACACTCTGTTTCCGCAACCAGCATCTCACGGTTCTCTCAACCACTATTTACTTTCCCAGATAATCACCAGACAATTGGATACGTTTCTTCCAACAATGGATAAGTTTTCTGAAGCCGTCACAGAAGAAGTCGACACTCTGTTTCCTCAACCAGAGTCTCACGGTTCTCCCAACCACTATTCACTTTTCCACATAGTCACCAGACAATTGGATACCTTTCTGCCAACAATGAACAAACA